AATGGAACTAGTTGAAGTGAGAATTTCTAAATACTTTCAAAAGGGCAAAGCATAAGTGAAAATATATGTAAACAAAACTTAAAGATGGTAATGTTTCATTTAACTTTAAAACAAATTTCATTTTGCCCAATATTAAAGTAGCCCAATATTGGTATATTGACCCCTTAAAATACTAATATTGTACCCTGTGCACTTCTTCAATAGAGCCATGAATTGATGAATTTCATTGATTGACAGTCAGAAAGTTGTCACTGTAGATAGCGTCGGCTATGTACTATGCATGTTAATTTGAATTATTTTTTAAATATGTGTGTAAATTCCATTCTTAGTCGATGGTATTTGATTTTTTTTTTCAGACTATCCATTTTATAATTTATCGTGCTATATTTCCCCCTTCAAAAAGCCACAGGTTGTTTTGTAAATCTGTAAATCTCTGATGAATAATGAGGATGAATAATGTACTTACAGTAATTTGAGTTCCTACATTACCAGCACATGGTTTAACTGCTTCCTTCAGCTTACCATCAATATAGCTACCTCTGTAATAAATATCAATATAGCTACCTCTGTAATAAATATCAATATAGCTACCTCTGTAATAAATATCAATACAGCTACCTCTGTAATAAATATCAATACAGCTACCTCTGTAATAAATATCAATACAGCTACCTCTGTAATAAATATCAATACAGCTACCTCTGTAATAAATATCAATACAGCTACCTCTGTAATAAATATCAATTTCATTCCTAGAAAATTATGTTGTAATTTTCATGTAAAGTACATTGAAGATGTAATCTAAATCACACTCAAAGTGAGCTAACCTCAGAAATAAATATCTATTTCCAAAAAGACTAAATACCCCAAAATAAGAGATTGCTATCTAACATTTGTTAGTATCACTAATATGATACATTGACAGTAGACACAAATAACTATTAATACAAGTCAAAATAATAACATCCAGCTAGAAGAAGTTTTAATACTACGTTAATAAAAGGAGCAAGTTTTTCTCTGTTATAATTGATAAAAGGCCATATTTAACCATAATTACCCTTAATATCTTAATGGACTTGTCCATCTTTTGATCTTGACAAAAGGGTTGGTCATTTTCAAGTTCAATTCTGAAATATGTACTGATTGAATGGCAAACAGTGCAGACAATGATCAAATGTCACCAATGTGCTAGAATATCTAGACACCAAAAGACCAAAGGACTGACTGATTTTCCCGCAAAATATGGAAAATTAAACTGTTTAGCAATAAAAACATACAGCATATGGCATAAATATCCATTCTCACAATATTCTTCTCTAAATCACAAACTAAAAATATATACCTGTAAGCACATTTAGAATCTGCAGTTCTTGTTACTATGGTAACATGAGCAACATGGCTGATACTTGCCAATGCCTCACCACGGAAACCATATGTTGCTATGGAATTCAAGTCTTCAAATTTTGATAATTTGCTGGTAGTGAATCTCTCACATACTATATTCATGTCATCTTTCTGTAAAGACAAACAATGTTTGTATTAAATTTACCTGTTTTTATAACAACATTTATTTACTTGTGTTTATAACAACACTTAAGCGTTTTGTTTTTTTTATTATTGTCTTTTTTTTGTAAGGTTTCACACAGTACCAAGACTGTAAAGACATAACTACCTTCCATCTTAACTGGGAGGGGTACCACAGGTTCACCTCCTTGTGATATTTCAAGCACAAACTGGCACCTGAATAGAACCACCGACATTTGTTAAGCTAGTATCTGGAGAGCTGGTAAGATGTTTATTCAGAGACAGTAAACCTTGTTATCAGAATAATACAGCTAACACCCTAATGCCATTTTTTACTGGTGAGGATATGTTAGGAAATGAATTAATTAAAACAATCTGAGTACAAAATGTAACAAAAACCCTTTGAGTGTTCATAAAAGGAGTCAATGCCAGGTTTCACGGATATAATCCTAAAAGCAATGGCAATTTAATGGGTATTAAAGGTCAATAAAACTTTGAAATCTCAACAAACTTGCACATGCATTAACATGCTTTCAGGCACATACATAGTCCTGCAGGTAGGATTACGTGAAGTAATATAATAACATAAACTTCATGGTGATTGAAACTTTCTATAAAGTTCTGATATATTCAAGTTAGTGGTTACTGAGAAAAAAAGTAGACAAAAAGTGAACAAGAGGGCCATGATGGCCCTGAGGTCGCTCACCTGTATATAGGCCCCCGGAGCGGGGCCAGTTTAAACCCCAGGGATTTTATTTGAGCAAACTTGGAAGATACCCATTAGAAGATGTTTCATGATGTTAAGTTTTTACTATGTACACACATATAATGAAAAACAATGACCTCCCCCCCCCCTTTGGCAGGGCCAATTTAAACCCAAGGGCTTTTATTTGGACAAACTTGGTAGACACCAACAAAAAGATGTTTCCTGCTTAAAATCTAACCTCTAGCCCATTGGGTTTTTTAAAAGAAGATTTTTTAAGTTTTTACTATACACATATAGTTAAATACAATGACACCTCTGGGGCGGGGCCAGTTTTAACCCCAGGGCTTTAATTTGAACAAACTTTGTAGACACTTACCAGAGGCTGTTTCATTCTTAATATCTAAACTCTAGCTATTTGGGTTTTTCAAAGAAGTTTTTTTAAGTTTTTTCCATACACATATAAGGAAAATCAATGACCCCCGGGGCGGGGCTAATTTTGACCCCAGGGCTTTTATTTGAACAAACTTTGTAGACACCCATTAGAACATGTTTCATGCTAAATATCTTAGCTCTAGCTCTTTGGGTTCTTTAAAAGAAGATTTTTTAAGTTTTTACTATATGCATAACGGGAAAATCAATGACCCCCTGGGGCAGGGCCAATTTTGACCCCAGGGCTTTTATTTGAACAAACTTGGTAGACACTCACTAGAAGATGTTTCATGCTTAATATCTAAACTCTAGCTGTTTGGGTTTTTACAAAGAAGTTTTTTTAAGTTTTTGCTATACACATATAAGGAAAATCAATGACCCCCGGGGCGGGGCCAATTTTGACCCCAGAGCTTTTATTTGAAAAAACTTTGTAGACACCCATAAGAAAATGTTTCATGCTAAATATCTTAGCTCTAGCTCTTTGGGTTCTTTAAAAGAAGATTTTTTAAGTTTTTACTATATGCATATAGGGAAAATCAATGACCCCCTGGGGCGGGGCCAATTTTGACCCCAGGGCTTTTATTTGAACAAACTTTGTAGACACTCACTAGAAGATGTTTCATGCTTAATAATTAAACTCTAGCTATATGGTCTTTTTTCAAAGAAGATTTTTTAAGTTTTTGCTATACACATATAAGGAAAATCAATGACCCCCTGGGGCAAAGCCAATTTTGACCCCAGGGCTTTTATTTGAACAAACTTTGTAGACACCCATTAGAACATGTTTCATGCTAAATATCTTAGCTCTAGCTCTTTGGGTTCTTTAAAAGAAGATTTTTTAAGTTTTTACTAAATGCATATAGGGAAAATCAATGACCCCCTGGGGCGGGGCCAATTTTGACCCCAGGGCTTTTATTTGAACAAACTTGGTAGACACTCACTAGAAGATGTTTCATGCTTAATATCTAAACTCTAGCTATATGTTTTTTTTCAAAGAAGATTTTTTAAGTTTTTACTATACACATATAAGGAAAATCAATGACCCCCTGGGGCAAAGCCAATTTTGACCCCAGGGCTTTTATTTGAACAAACTTTGTAGACACCCATTAGAACATGTTTCATGCTAAATATCTTAACTCTAGCTCTTTGAGTTCTTTAAAAGAAGATTTTTTAAGTTTTTACTATATGCATATAGGGAAAATCAATGACCCCCTGGGGCGGGGCCAATTTTGACCCCAGGGCTTTTATTTGAACAAACTTGGTAGACACCCATTAGAAGATGTTTCATGCTAAATATCTTAGCTCTAGCTCTATGGGTTCTTTAAAAGAAGATTTTTTAATTTTTTACTATATGCATATAGGGAAAATCAATGACCCCCTGGGGCGGGGCCAATTTTGACCCCAGGGCTTTTATTTGAACAAACTTGGTAGACACCCATTAGAAGATGTTTCATGCCAAATATCTAAGCTCTAGCTCTTTGGGTTTTTTAAAAGAAGATATTTAAAGTTTTTTCTTTCGGTTGCCATGGCAACCAGAGTTCTGCATGGAATTAAATTCTTTGAACAATTTGTAAAGGTGACCACCAAAGGAACATTCCTGTGAAGTTTGGATGAAATTGGCTTAGTGGTTTATGAGGAGATGTCATTTAAAGTAAAAGTTTACGGCCGGACGCCGGACGGACGGATGCCGGACGAAAAGCGATCACAAAAGCTCACCCTGTCACTTTGTGACAGGTGAGCTAGAAATGGATGGATAGACAGATGAAACAGCCATTTTGACTTTATATCTCACTGTCTAGAAGCATAATTATATTTAAGATCTATATATAATGGCTTATACATTCAAGGGTTGTGTTAAAAATCAGAAACAAAATAAAGATGATATACCTTGATTCCTGAACCATTGTCCTGTATCTGTAACAGTTTGAGACCACCTTGTTTAACAGTCACTGTTATATTTGTAGATTTAGCATCAAGGCTGAATTAATACAAACAATTGGTTACAGTTGAATTCATAACCTTTGTTATATTGATTCAAATCATAAAATGACAATATTAAAACTTAAAATAACTTCCAATAAAATAAGAAAATAAGGAACTACACATTAGGATTAGAATAGGAATAACTATAATTAATCTAGAACCTACTAGTTTTATACCAATAAGCCTTGTCATCAAGATATGATAATTGAATTATAAAATGGCTATATTTGGGTACACACATTGTTAGGAAATAATACACAAAATAATTTCTTACAGGGCATTGAAATATATGTGTATAATTTACCATTTCATCACCATTTTTATACATTTGTTGGTACTTTGTCCCAATACAGGTAGAAATAAACATGTTACAGTTAATGAAGAAAAAGACACATTGGAAGTTGCATGTACTCAACATTTCTTTTTCCCTTATTTTCATATTATACTTAAAGCTTAAATCACATCTGAAATAGTGTGTGAGGTCCAAAGACAGCTGTCTTACTATGTTGTTAGTATTTATTTGTATTTCTTTGAATTCCTCCATTTGATAATTCTATTATAAAGATATCAACTTCCTTTTTTTTTTGGGGGGGGGGGGGGGGAGATTTGCAAGCACCAACACTTTAATTTAAATTGCACCAACACATTAAAGGTCATATGGCAAATTTCCAGCTTTACAGATGGAGGAACTTCAGGTATCCCTCCATGCATTATTTCAGGCACAAGCAGGCACCTAAGTAGAACTGCAATCATTCCATAAGCTACAAGTAGATGGATACAGCTTCCTCACATAAAATAATCTAAAGTACCCCGCAGGATTCAAACTCCTGGCTGTAAGGGCTAGAGGTGTAAAATAACTTATAATATTCATACACTACAGATTTCATAAAACTAAGTACCAAATGATAACAAGGGAACTAACCTGTTTTCTATCATTTCTTTGAGAGCATTTGCTGGCCTTTGAATTACTTCCCCTGCAGCTATACGATTGACCACAACTTCATCTAACCTTCTGATCACCCCAGCAGACATTGCAAGGATTTTCTGACATTCATTACTATAAAAAATAATAAAAATATACAATAATAGCTATGTTAAATGTGAAAGTTACACTATCATACAAAAACTTGTACACACAAAATGTCAACAGTGACGCTACTACACACTAAATAACAGAAAAAAAGAAATCTTTGATGAATCTCAAAATTTCATAAACATTAGGGGTGGTGGATTGTTGGATAAGTGACGATCCCATCTGATCCATGATTCAGCACTTCACAAATCGAACCATGAATCTTTTGTTATTAAGACACCGTTAAAAACACGAACATTATGAAAACATGTTTATTTTCTTTAAACAATACTAAACAAATAAAAACAAGATTTAAAGGTTGAAAACAAGTTACGCCAATATAAAATTCCACCAGCAAAATTTACTTCCAATGTTTGGAAATACATTTTCTAAATAGTATTTCAATTGAAAATGAGAAAAAAAGCAGTTTGTAAACATGCCACGGCAAACTGACTTATACCATTGAACTTATTTATACCGGTGGTACAACAAACTTGTCTTATCACATGAAAAGACAAGTATTTCCAAACATTGGAAGTAAATTTTGCTGGTGGAATTTTATATCAGCGCGACTCCTTTTCAGCCATTGCTGCAGAAAGGATGTGTGAAGTCACACTGATGTATTAACTCGAGTTCTGCAAATTTTGGATTATTGAAAATAAAACCGTCTTTGATACACGTCACGTTATTATAAATCTATACATAGCGACTCAAAATATTTATTTTATTTTCATGTAAAAACATAGTGCTCAATAGTGATAAAGTGATTCCTTTTTCAAAACTAAATACTTCCTTGCGCAGCATCATAGTACATGTTGGTTTACTTCCTGTCTTCAATCAGCAAATTGTAATTTTTAAGGTGTGACAAACAGTGAATGTATAATAAACAAATAAGATCACAATCCACGATCTCTGGACTGACAAATATTCATACAGATTTTTCATTTTGATTCGTGATTATCGAGTACTTGGATGCTCGCCCCAGCCCTAATAAACATATTGATTAATTAACAGACACCTAAGTTTTTGTCTGTCCGTCTCTGGAAGCAATTTCTCACCTTGATATTGATGTGCATGTACATTGATGAAATCCTTTTGACATGTAATGTAAACAACAGTTGTCCTAGTATAATGATATATAAAGAAGGTATACATAGGTTTTTTTTCTCTATAATACTGCTTCAAAATCGTTTACAATTACACTAAGCAGGGATACATTGTATACATTGAATTGAGAGACAGCTATGAGATACAAGGGAATGCAGGAACCAGTCCCTAGCTCTTATTGAATAGACCCCTTGTTTCTATTACATGCCCAGTGTACAGCGCTGATACATGCGAGGATTACGTGGATATCTTACCAGTACACCTTTAGGTAGGTGGGAAACACTGAGTGTCTCTGAAAAATCCCAAGGGTGTTACCCAGGATCGAACCCGGGACCTCAGGAGTGACAGTCATTGGGCTAGATACTATTAATGATTAAAAAGATCTAGGCCTATATATTGATACTGCAGGTGTTGTGAAACCAGTAGCCTAAAATGTCATCAATGACAAGGACATTGACTGTCTATAATATTGACAACAAGTGAGCATTGTTACTAAACTTGTCATAAATAATTAATAATAACAAAATCGGGTGAAACAGGTTGAATAACAAACTTACACTAAAATGCTGAAAAAGCATGAATGACGAGAAAAAAATCCCGCACTTCCTTCTTTTAGAAGAATACATACGGGGGCATAACCCATTATTCCCATAGAAACAAAAAGTAGTCCCAAGGAAAGAATATTTATGAAACAAACAATTCATTGCAGGGTAACTGTAATAATATGATGCAAAATTCTTTGCAATTTATATATTTTCATAATTCTATATGAATATTTAAGCTTACACATCCATAAATATGACAGTTGCCTAGAAATATTTAGAACTATTTTCCTACACAGTCATAGCCTAATTACTTGTAAACAATATGGCGGACATGTAGTCAGTGAAAATAATTGTTTCGTAAAAAAAAAGAATTTGACTAGATTTACTCAATTTGACCCATTTTTTCAGATGCATTATAATCAAACATAATAATCTTTACCTAGCTGCAACATGCCAGCCGTAGAGACAATGAATAGAGGCCTGATGGGCCAACATGGCCCTACAGATACCTCGGGATTGCTCATAGAAACCATGCAAATAGAAGAACCCAGGAAATCTCAGCATGTACCCAACCATGTTCTGGAAACGAGTAATTATTTATTTTGTCATATATTTAATCATTAACATTTGTAAATTAAACCCATAATTTATGACATACATGTTTATCATGTTTGTCAATCTAGTGTTGACATAAGTTTAGAATATCTATCTAGATCTGTGTGGTGGCGTGATAACTCAGATGGTTAGACCACTCACTGATTATCAGGTCCTGGGTTCGATCCTTGGTTACACCCTTGGATTTTTTCAGAGACATTGTCAGTGTTTCCCACCTACCTAGAGGTGTACTGGTAAGAAATCCAGGTAATCCTCACATGTATCGATCAGTGTTATACACTGGGCATGTAAAAGAACCAACGGGTCTATTCAATAAGAGCTAGGGAGTGGTTCCTTGGATTTCTTTGTATCTCATAGCTGTCTCTTTAATGTATACAATGTATATCTGCTTAGATTAATCGTAAACGATTTTGAAGCAGTATGATGTAGATTATAGATCTATATATCTTCTATTCTATTACACTATCTACCTTCCATTAATGTCAAACCCCTCACAGGGACGTAGACATGACTCTACACTTCAGAGACAGCTATGAGATACAAGTGAATCCGGGAACCAGTCCCTAGCTCTTATTGAATAGGCCACTTGGTTCTTTTACATGCCCAGTGTATAGCAGTCAGCTTGATTCATATAACTAAATGCCATAAATGATAAAATCATTTTTTTACTTTTTACCGACATTCTATTAGATTGAGTCATTTTTCGGACTATTAGACTTTAAGATATTTATGAATAACAATATCATCTAATTTATTTGGCTGTTTTACAATACAAAAGTTGAAAATAGAATTTGTTTCAACATTGATTTTGTAAAAGACCAAGTAACAATAGCTACATGTATGTATTTCAAAAATAGAATTTTTACACAGTTACTTATAATAGTGCCAATTTATAATTATGATTATCTTTAATTACTTTTCAGAAATATACACAAAAATTGCCCAGAACTCAATGGTGCTTGCCAAGCCATCAGTGATACATTTTGGAGGTTTTGAGGTTGACAAGAAACATACTTTGTCCTTGAGCATAGTAAATGTTTCAACAGAAGTTATTAGAATGCATGTCATACCTCCGCAGACAAAATACTTCTATATCAAATATACCAAAAATGTAAGTACATGCATGTAGACTTTTTGAGTATTTACTTTTATCATTTTATCATTTAAGTGCTATAAAACTACATTTGAGTAAAGACCATTTCAAAGAAACTGTAAATAACACTGACAATTTTCAATTTTTAATTTAGTTAAAAGATTAAGACATGCTTGATTTAAAAGCTCAGTTGAGGCATCATCAGCATGAAACCTCAGATTGTTTTTTTACGACTTGTGTATTAACCAGTGTCTGTGCTATATGTGTCCCCATTAAGACTCAAACCCACATGCCATAACCACTTGATCATACTGCCACTGTTTTAATTGATTTTCCATATTTTTGCTTCAGGAAAGATTGGTTCCAGGACTGACATTAGACTGTACCATTGAGTTTACACCTGATGAATGGAGATATTATTATGACTGTATTAGAATTAACTGCCCTGTAAGTAATGCTTTTTAGTCCTTACAAAACTTTAAACAGTCCATTTAAAGTGATTTCAATTTCATAATATATAAATTTAGTAACCAACAGACTTTTCTGCATTAACCTGCTGAATTTGTGCAATGGATTAGCCTTTCTTCGAACAGTCTATACATAAATACATGTATTTAGTTTCAAACAGTATAGAGTCTTGTAAGACTGCATGGATGTTAAAAGCTACAAATGTAAGTTTCGTATGAAGTTGTGATCATCATTTATAAACAGATCTCCTAAAGTTGATTGTTTAGTACATATTATTTTCAACCAATTGCCTGTTGCAGCTAATTTTTTGACATCAGTGTAAATCTTAAGTTAAAAGCAAGAATAATTTTAATACACCCATAAGCATGTGCAATGACCTTGTGCAGAGAATGTTTCGTGATTATGAATGTCAGTTTTCACATAGTTAAGTTACTTTGTGACCTTCTTCATTTGTAATAGATATATAAGTGTACACATACTTCTATGTTTTTTTTTAGTAATTTATCTACATATTCATATAATTATCATAATGAAGTTTATTTGGGCATGTTTGTGGTATTTTATGCTTAAATCATTACTGGCTGACTGGAAAATGGAATCTTGGTGTTAAGTTGATGTAACTTGATTGCAATTTTGTTGTATTTCAGGGGGAAGAAAATCTTGTCATTCCTATACATGCTTACCCTGTGATGAGTACCAAAGATTTCCCACAGCTGTTCAATTTTCCACCAGTCCCTGTTGGTCATAAGTGAGTACCATTCATTCATGAAAGTACATATACTGGTTCTGTATACTGACAAAAACATGAATTGATAGTGAGAATTAGTCTGTGTATTCTGAAATTTTCTAATACACATTTGCCATCTAGTAAACATTGATAATTTGTCAAGATTTAGATGAATACTTGTTTAGTAAAAACAACCTTTCATTTAATGAAATGTTATCATTAATTATCATTGACATAAAACTGGAATTTCTTCTTCTGTAACAAATTTCTGTAATTTTACATTTAGACCTAGTATGATGCACTTTTTATTTGTTTGTTTTTACAATGAAAATACATATTTTGTTAACTTTGACTCAAATAGTTAATACCTAAGTCCTAGAAACTTTCAATATATGATAGTAAGATGTATACATATTGAAATACAGATAGGAATATTGTTGTTTTTGTGTAAAAACAAAATGAAAATATTTAAAAATGATAATTTCAGAATGACCAAGGTGTTCCCATTGCGATGTGAAGCACCAATAGATTTTGAGTTTCAGTTGACATACCTACAGCCTCATCAAGCATTCACTGTTAATCCAATGTCAGGTTTGTATATATGAGCCGCGTCACAACAAAACCAACATAGTGCGTTTGCGACCAGCATAGATCCAGACCAGCCTGCGCATCCACGCAGTCTGATCAGGATCCATGCTGTTCGCTTACAAACCCTATTACAAGTAGAGAAACTGATAGCTAACAGCATGGATCCTGATCAGACTGCCGGATGCGCAGGCTGGTCTGGATCCATGCTGGTCGCAAACCCACTATGTTGGTTTTGTCATGACACAGCTCATTTATTGCAGTGAGAAAATTCAACATAATTATTAGTAAAAAATATTAGTTAAAAGTCAAAACAAAAACTTATATTTAGTCTTGATAGAATCTTTGTCTTTGATTTCTTTTATAATTATTTTAATTTCATTCATCTTGTGATTTCTGTGTAAAAAGCTCCTTTTTTGTAACAAGCTTAATTAGTTTCATTAAAATTCTTCTAAATCTTTGGAAAATAATACAGATTGTTTGACTATTTTGCTATGATGATGATTATATTACAGATTGTTTGACTACATGTTGTATTTTGCTATGATGATGGTTATTTTACAGGTATTATTCCTGCTAATGGGGAGACAGAGGTTGCTGTCACTTTTTGTCCAATTGAATTTCACACAGCATATATGAGAATACAGTTGGTTATTTCACAGTTCAACTCTAACCCGATTGTGTGTACTTTTACTGGAACTTCTGTACCTGGATTGCTCAAGTATGATTTTCAGATACATTCTTGTAAACTAGTTTACAATTGTTCTTTGTGGCACTATCAAGCACTGGTATCATTTATGGAAAAAATATGGTTGCGACCAATTTATGGCTTAAACCCACAATTTATTTTAAACCAAGGCCTTAATTTATCTCTCATTAAGGTGGTTTTATAGTTTCTTTACACAATAGACTTGATTAAACAAATGGATTTTCCTTATATTTTATTAATATTTTTTTAGCTCACCTGAGCTTGCTCAGGATGAGCTTTTAGGATCGATGAATGTCCGTCGTCCGTCGTCTGTCCGGCCGTCCACAATTGCTTGTGAACACTCTAGGGGTCGCATTTTTGCCTCAATCATCATCAAACTTGGTCAGGATGCTTATCTAGTTGAAAGCTCGGATGAGTTCGAACATGGGTCATCTCAGATGAAAAACTAGGTCACAAGAGCTAAAAATAGAAAAACCTTGTGAACACTCTAGAGGTCACATTTTTGACCCAATCTTCATCAAACTTGGTCAGGATGTTTGTCTAGGTGATAGCTCGGATGAGTTCGAACATGGGTCATCTCGGATGAAAAAGTAGGTCACAGGAGCTATAAATAGAAAAACATTGTGAACACTCTAGTGGTCACATTTTTGAACCAATCATCATCAAACTTGGTCAGAATGCTTGTCTAGTCAATTGCTTGGATGAGTTCGAACATGGGTCATCTCTGATGAAAAACTAGGTCACAGGAGCTAAAAAATAGAAAAACCTTGTGACCACTCTAGTGGTCACATTTTTGACCCAATCATCATCAAACTTTGTCAGGATGCTTGTTTAGATAATAGCTCGGATGAGTTCGAATATGGGTCATCTCGGATGAAAAACTAGGTCACCGGAGCTATAAATAGAAAAACCTTGTTAACACTCTAGCGGTCACATTTTTGCATCAATCATCATCAAACTTGGTCAGGATGCTTATCTAGTTGATAGCTTGGATAAGTTCGAACATGGGTCATCTCGGATGAAAAAGTAGGTCACCGGAGCTAAAAATAGAAAAACCTTGTTAACACTTTAGCGGTCACATTTTTGCATCAATCATCATCAAACTTGATCAAGATGCTTGTCTAGGTAATAACTCGGATGAGTTCGAACATGGGTCATCTCGGATGAAAAACTAGGTCACCGGAGCTAAAAATAGAAAAACCTTGTTAACACTCTAGTGGTCACAATTTTGACTCAATTGTCATCAAACTTGGTCAGGAAACTTGTCTAGGTCATTGCTGGGAATAAATCGAACATGGGACATCTCGGATGAAAAACTAGGTCACAGGAGCTAAAAATAGAAAAATCTTGTTAACACTCTAGTGGCTACTGTTGTGATCCAAATATTCTGTTAATTGGTCTGAAAGTTTGTTTTGATGATTTCTAAGTCAAGATCGAACATGGGTCATCTTGGATGAAAAACTAGGTCACACCGCCCAAATATGGAAAAACCTTGTTAACATTCTAGTGGTCACATTTTCGACTCCATTATCATCAAACTTGGTCAGAATGCTTGTCTAGGTAATTGCTTGGATGAGTTCGAAATCGCATGTGAAACTAGGTCACCGGAGCTAAAAATAGAAAAATCTTGTTAACACTCTAGTTGCTACTGTTTTGATCCAAGTATCCTGGAAATTGGTCTGAAAGTTTGTTTTGATGATTTCTAGGTCAAGTTTGAATATGTGTCACCTGGGTAAAAAACTAGGTCGCACTGCTCAAATATGAATAATCCTTGTTAACACTGTAGTGGTCACATTTTTGACTCACCTGTCATGAGACTTGGTCAGAATGCTTGTCTAGGTAATTGTTTGGATGAGTTTGATAATTCAGGTGAGCGATCTAGGGCCATCATGGCCCTCTTGTTTTATTTGTTGTCAATACTTTTGTTTGGTAACTATTAAAACGAAATCTCATTTTGAATTGTTAATGTTACTTTTGGTAGAAGACAAAACATTGCACTGTTAAATTTCTATGTTCCTAATATGGTTTTTCAATTTTGCTGGGATGAAACATTAATTTCTATGATCCTAATATGGTATTTCAATTTTGCTGGGATGGAACATAAATTTCTATGATCCTAATATGGTATTTCAATTTTGCTGGGATGAAACATTAATTTCTATGATCCTAATATGGTATTTCAATTTTGCTGGGATGAAACATTAATTTCTATGATCCTTATATGGTATTTCAATTTTGCTGGGATGAAACATTAATTTCTATGATCCTAATATGGTATTTCAATTTTGCTGGGATGGAACATAAATTTCTATGATCCTTATATGGTATTTCAATTTTGCTGGGATGAAACATTAATTTCTATGATCCTAATATGGTATTTCAATTTTGCTGGGATGAAACATTAATTTCTATGATCCTAATATGGTATTTCATTTTTAACTTTCCAGGGATGAAACATTAAAGTATTCCTTCCAGTATGGCGAAGGATCTGAGGAGTCCCTATTAGATCCACGTAGCTTGACACCTGTAGAACGAGCTCGAAGAAAAAAGAAAAAGCTCTCCCTTCCCCCTCCCACAAATGTCAAACAGGTACTTTGTAACCTTGTAAATAATACACACAGGCTTCGCGAAAGTTGCCGGACCGTCGGACATGTCCGGCAAAAATCAGACCGGTCCGATATTGTTTTTCCGAGTTCCGGACCTTATGTCCGGTACGAATACCGGGATATATCCAAGACCGATCAAGACCGAGTTTTCTCCCTTGAATAAAAAAATGTAAAACGAGTTTTGATTCGCCGTTTCATTATAAGTGTCCAATCAAATTCTAGATACATACGACTTTCAATGACCTTGTACTCGGAAGAAAATGTTGGTGTTACTGTATTATTACGATATGGCGCTACGCCAGGCAAAAAACGTAAATTATCTAACGAAGAAAAAAAGCGAAACAAAAGGAATACGAGTCCAGGCGCCCGCCGAGAAAATTTGACAGAGTCCATCAATCTGGATTAAACTGATGTTTTATTTAAGAGAATAAAATTGTGTTGCAAATCTTAAAAAGTTGCTATGTCTTTAAAAAAAACACAAAGGTATTACCATATACATATATATGGAAAAAAATTTGGTCAGACAAATATTCTTTCGGTCTGACAAGACTTGAAAAATTGTCTGACCGATTGTCAGGCAAATTTTTCAGCAGTTTTGCGAAGCCTGTACACATAATTGTAAATTGATAATTTAATGCTTTAAAGTTTATTTTGACAAGAAATCTTTTAGATTCAATCATGGTTCCATTGTGTAAATATATTTTTTTTGTGAAAATATAATATTATTTTTAGCTCGACTTTTCTATGAAAAGGGGAGCTATCCTACTCGCCCCGGCGTCGGCGTTGGCGTCACACCTTGGTTAAGTTTTTCGTACCACCCCACTTTATTTCAGAAGTATTACAAGTATGGCTTTGAAACTTACCATACTTGTTCACCATCATAACCTCCATCTACAGACAAGAGTACATAACTCTGTCAAGGTTTTTGACAGAATTATGGCCTTTTTTTGACTTAGAAAGTGTATTGAGCTTGGTTAAGTTTTTTGTACCACCTCACTTTATTTCAAAACCATTGGAGGTATCGCTTTGAAACTGACCATACTTGTTTACCATCACGACCTTCATCAACAGACAAGAGGACATAACTCTGTCAAGGTTTTTGACAGAATTATGCCCCTTTTTGACTTAGAAAATACATTGAATATGGGTAAAATCCACTTATTGCCTTAACCCTTTGAGATATTGCTTTGAAACTTTTAATGCTATTTCACATCATTACCCCCATCTGTACGCAAGAGAAGGTAACTCTGTCAAGGATTTGTTTTAAAAAATTAAGGCCTTTTATCGACTTAGAATCTTGGTTAAGTTTTTAGTACCAGTCCACTTTTTGACTGAACTGTTTGAGATATTAATTTGAAAGTTGGAATACTTGTTTACAATCATGATTCCCAAACATGTCCAGGAGAAGGTAATTCTGTCAAAGATTTTATTTGAATTATGGCCCTTAACTGTCAATGTTTTGTATTATAGGCAAGCACTAAAAAACTTAAAAAATCTAAAAAAATTCATTCCTATCCACTTGTTCACTTTACCATAAATTATGTCATAATAAAATAATTCTTCACTAAATATCTTAATGCTCATGGCCATTGTTCACTTTAAAAATACAGAGATTCTTGTATTGCCTTTTACTGCAAAAACTTTTTTTATTGGCAAGCAATAAAAAAGTCGAGCGCGCTGTCTTACGGACAGCTCTTGTTTTGTATGTTTTGTTCTTATTGATCTAAATATTTCAGTTGTGCCTTTAGAAAATCTGGTGAGTCTGCCATTTTCAGACAAACTTTTTATATTCACTGTAGTCAATTGAACTACTTGAATATAAATGAATGAAAAAAATTATTATCATTTGTTAAGATGTTTTTTACTTAATTTTTAGCTCGACTTTTCTATGAAAAGGGGAGCTATCCTACTCGCCCCGGCGTCGGCGTCGGCGTCACACCTTGGTTAAGTTTTTCGTACCACCCCACTTTATTTCAGAAGTATTACAAGTATGGCTTTGAAACTTACCATACTTGTTCACCATCATAACCTCCATCTACAGACAAGAGTACATAACTCTGTCAAGGTTTTTGACAGAATTATGGCCCTTTTTTGACTTAGAAAGTGTATTGAGCTTGGTTAAGTTTTTTGTACCACCTCACTTTATTTCAAAACCATTGGAGGTATTGCTTTGAAACTGACCATACTTGTTTACCATCACGACCTTCATCAACAGACAAGAGGACATAACTCTGTCAAGGTTTTTGACAGAATTATGCCCCTTTTTGACTTAGAAAATACATTGAATATGGGTAAAATCCACTTATTGCCTTAACCCTTTGAGATATTGCTTTGAAACTTTTAATGCTATTTCACATCATTACCCCCATCTGTACGCAAGAGAAGGTAACTCTGTCAAGGATTTGTTTTAAAAATTAAGGCCTTTTATCGACTTAGAATCTTGGTTAAGTTTTTAGTACCAGTCCACTTTTTGACTGAACTGTTTGAGATATTAATTTGAAAGTTGGAATACTTGTTTACAATCATGATTCCCAAACATGTCCAGGAGAAGGTAATTCTGTCAAAGATTTTATTTGAATTATGGCCCTTAACTGTCAATGTTTTGTATTATAGGCAAGCACTAAAAAAGTCGAGCGCGCTGTCTTACGGACAGCTCTTGTTAATTACCCAGTGTGAATGAATATCACACACAGTGTCATAGAACAAATCTTGTCTAGAAATGCTTTCTAATATTCTAGATAACAAAAGGTCAGTGGTTCTACTTAGGTGCCTGCTCATACCTGAAATAATGCAATGAGGAGCACATGAGGTCTGAGGAGCACCTGACATCTTCCTCCACCTGTAAAGTTAGACAGTTTCGATAATTATGACCTTTTTAGTGTCAGTTATACCTTAAATTCAGCAATAATAGGTAAAAAAATCATGTATCAGTTTTGAGTTGGTAAGATAAAACATTGCACAATTACTGTGTTGTGGATGTTTTGATGCAGGTTTCAGGGTTTGTGTGTAATGAGATTGATATAAACTGTATAACAAGAAGTTAAATCAATTGAATTTCTTGTTTAGATATTGGCAGCATATACACTGATAAAATGTTTGTAACTTATATTACAGGAAGTTGAATATCAAGGTGTAAAATTTCCAGTTGATCTAAATAATCCATATGCTGTGTCTCAAGTACTGAATCAGGAGCCAGGCAAACTAAGGGCAAAGGATCTCAGAGATGGTACATATTATAGTGTAAACCCTTGAAGTATTCAGGGTTGTCATTAAACTTTTTCCAAGACTGTTTGTTTTAATTTTGGGGGTCATTTTTGGTTTAGTTGAGGTGGCCCAAAATGCATTTCAGACAGTCATTTTGGCCTACAATGGCCTCCAGATGACAACCCAGAGTACTCAAATGGACTTAGTTTATACATATTTATTTTAGTTTGATAGTGTTGGAAGCTATAAGCTTATTGAAACAGTCTTGAATCCATTCCAGGTTTGGTTAATCTGTTAAGTTTGATGGGATTTCTTTATCAAAGTATAGAGCCTGGTTTGACTGTATGAATGTAGTCAGGGATAACTTTGCTTTATACTGGTGACATAAACTCTGCCTTATGTAGGTGATAACAAATATTGTATGTACATGTAAATATTGGAGACTACCTATTCTGATTTACATTTTGGAAAAGAATGTAAGAAGTTGCTGTAATAATGATTTACATTTTGAAAAGAATGTAAGAAGTTGCTGTAATAATGATTTACATTTTGAAAAGAATGTAAGAAGTTGCTGTAATAATGATTTACATTTTGAAAAGAATGTAAGAAGTTGCTGTAATAATGATTTACATTTTGAAAAGAATGTAAGAAGTTGCTTTAATAATGATTTACATTTTGAAAAGAATGTAAGAAGTTGCTGTAATAATGATTTACATTTTGAAAAGAATGTAAGAAATTGCTGTAATACAAGGAAAATTTTTTCATTAAGCGGATTAGACTAAAGCCAGATTTTTTTCATACATTGCATGCAAAAGTTTGATGCCAAAATTCATCATGTACATATTTATCATCTAGCTGTATCTATATTTCTTAAAAACTTGAATTGTTCTTTTGGATAGTAAGCTATAAACTTAAAGACACACTCTTGAGTCTGTTCCTAGAACTAACCAATAATAATAAGTATTCCAGTAACTTTTTATATAGCTTCATATTTATATAACACCAAGTTGAAAATATGTTTACTGCTCATTCTTAATTTGATATGTTTATTTATTCTTTATTCCAGTTGTTGTCACTAAAGATTCTAAGCCAAAAGCTGCAACACGACAAATGAAGGTATATATAAAAATAATGTAGCTTTTCCTTAAATAGATTTCCAAATGTTCTATTTAGTGGGGCGGGAAATAAGGTCTCTGCTGTCAAAATAGTGCAAATTGTGATACAAGCATGAAACTTTCAGGAAATTATCTTTACACCATGTAGATTTCGAAAGTGAAGTGGGCCCAAAAATATCTCTGCTCATTCAAGAGTCATGGCCGCCCATTTTCAAGATGGCCGCCATATAAATTTGATGTACATAATAGCTCATTCATTCCAATTTTTTGTACAGACCTGAAACTTACACCAAAGCTTGCATATAATTTCCCCTTTTTCAAAAATTTAAATCTTCAGGCAATTTCTCTTGCATAGTTTTTCAGAATCCAAGATGGCGTCCAATATGGCTGCCAATTTTAATGAAAACTGATATATCTATTTTGTAGTATAATTTTTTTGCACAAGGTATGCGTATTTCCATATAAAATTGTGAAATATATTAGAAAAAAATCAAATTTTAGGTTAACTACATTGTTGGTCATGTTTTTAGTTTTTTGTACAAAAAAAAATCTTTAACAAAATCAAAGAAAAAGTGCCATTTTTTGCATTTTTCTCAATCATGGTTTTCTAGGTCTATGTACAAAATTCCAAAAAGTTACATAGTTTATTAAAGTGTATTTGATATTCAATCAACACTATGTTTTATTGTATAATTGTAAACAAAAACAAACAAAAATGTGAAGGTTTTATACTTATTAAAAGTGGGTGGGGTAAATTTATCAGACAATTGTAGTACAAAATAACGTTTTTTAAGAATTCTTATGCAAATATTCACTGTAAAAGTATTTTTATTGTATCAAGGTATTTTGTTTTCCTTCAGGTATAGAGGGTGTACTAAAATATCAATAAATGCAGATACAATCATATGTATACATTCAGTTATTAAATGTTTGCATGATATAAGTTGTTTCAATATTCTTAATATAATTTAATAATTGTACAGAAAGAAGAATGAATATTCATCAACGAACCATATGTTAGATAAAATCATGCCTGGACCTTAGTGAATGTGTATCATATTTATGATGTTCCTACTATTTACTGATCGAATTTTTTAGTTTTTCTATAGTGTATTGTAAGGGGTCATGATCTAAAGTTTTTTTTCTTGCACATATTGGTATTACTATTTAATTTTGATTAAGTACGTCATTTATTAATATAAATTGTAGATATGGTATCTTTTCAAAGAAACAAAATTAAGGCGATGAATACTTTATTTATACTTTTAAATGACTAGTGCGGAAGTTACAATTACAATTAGTCAATTACCTTACTTTAAGGTTCTGTGATTTAAATAAATTGGTATCAATAACCACTATGTAGTCACTATAATACACAATTAATAGTTATTACTTGGATATAAATAATTGTAGCTACCTTTTTTTCCATTGCTAGAGGATGTTGACGGCTCTAGTCAAGCTGTCTCAGACCAATGCTGGTAATTAGGTCTATAATTCTATTGTTATACTGACGATGCTAAAATATTAAGGGAGGTATCTTTTTACTAGTCCATCGTTTATTTAAACTATTTTAGATCGGAAATCATGTCCATTACTTAGGCTCTTTCAGCAATTAAAGTTAAGTTACTAGTAATTCCTAATTTTATTCCATATATAGTCATGTAAAATAATTGTGATTTTGACCCTTTATGGCCAAATTAGGTGGATATCTTCGGATGTTACTATAGCTCCCTGTTATGAATTATTTAACGAATTTTTGGTTGGGGTTTCCTCTGTGCTAGGTTTCGGAGAATTATTTTTATATTATAGTCCTTATTTGGTATATAGTTGGATGGAAGGCTTGGACGCAGGGAACTGATTTATATAAAGGCAATTCGGCTTTCACTTACAGGAGAAATCAGTGTTATATGTAGAGTGTTAGCTTGGGAAAATACGTATTTGATTGCTATATGGTGTGTTGTCATTATTATTATATACAAGAACAATAGTGATCTACAAGTATCTTAAGCAAATGTAAAAATATGAACATCGGGCTTTTTAATATCATCAGAGGGGTCTCGAATTGGTTTCCAGCAAAAAAAAGATAATAACTTGCAAGTAAAGAAGACCTCTTTAAAAGTTAATTAAAACACTTTTGGATCATTATGTACATGCTAAATAAATTTTCCAATCAATGCTGGTGCACAATGGATCTAGCTGGTTATTTTGGAGCGCACTTTGGTCTTTATTAATACACGATTATGATCATATGCTTTTAGAGATAGACCACCTGGGTTCACTAGTTTATTAGGAAACATTAAAAATCTTATGTGTGTAAAATTATACTTTGAATAAGATTTGGATAATGTAATGTATCTAACTGTGTGATTAATTAATTATGTTTGCATACTGCTCGTCTAAATGTTTTGCTGGTATCACTTTGATTATACTAGTACTCTTTATAGTTGTTTTCTTCTTAATGTATCCGTGTTGTATACTTTTTCATTAGGTTCTTCGCTTCCTAAATGTATTAAGATATATCATGGACACATGGGTCCAAATTCACATCTTAACAGAACCGTCACTAAGTTATTTATGGATCCGTATATAATTATGTGTATTAAGTCCTCTCGTGTGGAATAAAAATATTGAAAACTGTTAATGGCATGTTTATTTTAAATAGTCTCAAATCCGATATCATTATGACAAATCGATGTTTATGTATATGCTATAATTGACACTCAAATGATTTGTAGCTATTTGTCCAACAATGATCTTGTGAGTGAGCCAGGTTCTCTTACCCTCTTATTTAGAAGAAAAAATAAAGAATATTGATTATTTAGGAAGATACACTTGTTGGGTGTATCTTACTTTATTCAAAATTTTGCATTCAGGCCAGGCCATATCATTGTATATATGTTTCACAGTTACATACATTCTGTTGGCTTTTAAGCCATGTTTATATTATAAATATAAAATTGTGGAGAAGTCAAAATATGCGTTTATGGACTCTCTTTATACCTTACATTCATGTACATGTTTGCTATTTTAAGCACGTTTAGTTGATTTATTGTTCTTTATATGTCTTTACATTAACAATAAATATATGATATCAAATATATTTGAAACAAGAATTATCTTGCAACCAAATTTAATAACTGAATGTATACACAAGTTTGTATGTGCATTCTTAGTGCTCACCGCCACAAATGGCCCAAAGGAAGAAAAAAATTACTTTCATCCAAAAAAAGTACTTTTTAAAGTTGGAACTTTTGCATAAGAATTCATTAGAAAAGTAAAAAGGCAAAGAAAATAGAAATGAACTTAGCTATGTAGATTTTTCTGTGTTTTTTCTTTTACAATAATCATATAAAATTACCCCACCACTTTACAAAATATAAAACCTACATATTTAATGCTTTTCTTTACATTCTGTTAGTATAATATAACAATGATATTAAATGGAATGTCAAAATACAGTTTAAGATATTAAGTAACTTTTTTAACGTTTGTACATTACTTTAGAAAATCAAATTTGTAAAAATATGAAAAAATTTGGAATTTTTTCTTGATCTTTTTAAAAGTTTATATTTTTATTGGACAAAAACTTTTTAAATGTTTACTTTTATTGAGAATAACAGGTATAATTTGATTATCTCTGATATGTTTAAACATTTTTTTTATTCATAATAAACATAATTTGTGCAACAAATATACTTACTTAAAAATGATATAACAGTTTTGCACAAAATCGACGGCCATATTGGACGCCATCTTGGATTTGGAAGAAGTATGAAAGAGAATTTTGTGAGATTAAAATTTTTGAAAGGAGAAACTATATGCATGCTTTAGGTGTTTAGTTAAAGGTCTGTACAAAAATTGGATGAATGAGCTAGAATGTACGTCAAAATTTATATGGCGGCCATTTTTGAAATGGCGGCCATCTTGAATGAGCAGAGATATTTTCTGGGCCCACTTCACTTTTGAAATCTACATGGCTAAAGATGATTTTCTGAAAGTTTCATGCTTGTATCACAATTTGCACTATTTTTTCTCAATTTCCCGCCCACTAATTAAAGATCCTGTATGTTTTGTGATTGATACTTTTTAATGTGTGTTTGTTACCACACTTTCAAAAAAATACAATAATATGTAATAATTATTATGCAAATAAATCATTTTCAAACACGAAGAATATCGTAAATGTGTACTGCAATATCTTGTGCAATTAATGATTTAATAATAATTATATGTATTTCATTTCATATTTTGGAATTTGGTCTGTTATTGAATATTTCTATTGTGGCTCTTTTTATTTAATAATAATGTGTACGATTCCTGAAGTGATAATATCTTATAAAAATTGTATCTATTGAATAATTTATTGATATGGAACAATTATGACTCATTTATTGTTGAGACTATATCAGTATACAGTTCTATGAAAAATTATAACATGATGAGGAAAAATGATGTTTTACAGGATACAAATATTAGGATTAATGTATTGTTTTTGGTTAGTCTGTTCATATGTTGGTTGTTATCTTTGTTGAGCTTAAGAAATTAGTGTGTTAACATAAGGCCTTAATATTTATGAAGGAGCAGCGGTCAAAGTGTCTGTTAGACTCATTCTTGATTACATGTGTTTCTTATTTGGGATAATTAACTATTTTTTTTTTATAGACATATTTTCTGATAAAATTAAATTCTGTGAGAAATGATATATTTTTATAATGTAATTTATTGATTAGTCCCTACAGTATACCGGAGGGGCTTAGGTGATCATTACCTCGTACGTCTGTCTGTTGTGTCTGTCACTGTCGTACTGGTCTGTATATTATTCTGTTAGTGTCAGTGTTCAGTGGCGTCCGTTCCGGCAAACTGATCCCGCAAGATACGCAAAAGACTAACTTTTTTATGAAACTTGAATTTGGATAAGCTGGGCAATGAAGAAGAATTATGAAACGTCTTAATATATTTAATAATATCAATCATACCTATGTTAAAATTCTGGTTGCTTGC